TATATATATATATGTATGTATGTATAATTATTACGTTCACAAAACCTTTTTCATTTTTAATAAAACGCATTTAATTATTTTAAAGAAACAATTATTAATCATTTAATTATTATAAAAACTTGGGTGTTAAATTTTGTTTACTGCTTTATATTTTCCTTTGTTGATGTTTGAATTTATTATTAGTTTTGAAAGTGATCAGGTATTCTTTGTCCATGAGAAATTTTTTATTTTTTTTAATATATTGTCGCGTTTCCATTACTTATTTCCATCGACGGGTATATTATTTAATGCATAAACAACAGAAGGTGTCACAAATTTAACTAAACTAGATTAATTATTGATTAAAAAGTGAATTAAGCTGAGCTAGTTCACTATTTTTTTTGAGTTAGAGGAAATATTGTTACTCGTTTGGACCTTTCACAGTTGATGAATTTAGGTGAGTTTACTAACTTTATTTTCAAAAATCAAAAATTGAAAAGTTTAAAATAAGTTTGGTATTTCATCTATCACTTAAAATAAATAATTAAACCTGAAATCAACCTCAAATATAAATTTAAATCCAATATTTACTGGTTAAGTGTAAAAAAGAAAAATAAAAAAAAGCTAAGTTGATCAAATCAATTCTACCTTTGCTTAATTCATGGGTCATTGGAATAAACAAGAGTTTTTTATATGAGAGATTTTATATTGGGTCAAATTCACATGTCATAGAAAGTGATGTAATGACAAACTTATAAATAAAGTAAAATTTTATATGATAGATGTTAATCTATTTTATTAGGGTTGAAAATGAGTTGAATTTGATTTAGTTTAACTCACCTCGTAACTTGACTCGAATTAGGCATGAATATTTAGTTTTTCATCTCAAACTTTACTCAATTCAATATAACTAACAATTCAAATCAACTTGTTAGATCCAATCATGTAATATTCTAAATTTATGATACAATATTATCTTATATATATATATAGATGACATCCAACAATATTATAAAATACTTATCATATTATGATTATATATAAAATTATCTATTACAACTTATATATTTTAATAGGTAATTAAATTAATTAGTATAAATAAATAGTGTTTTATTTTATAAAATTTTATGTTCAGTAAGATAAATATATATATATATATATGTGTGTGTGTGTGTGTGTGTGTGTGTGTACTAATTAGTTATAGTATAAATATTGTGTATGAAAAATAACTTATTATAAATTTACATGATTTTATAGACTTATAAAACAAAGTAGTTCAGTGGTTTCACTCCTTGTGCTTAAGGATTTCAAGTGCTTGGTACTGGGTTCGAATCCTATATGGTTCTAATTTTAATTTTTATTTGTTTTATAAAAATATGCTTGCATACAGATTCCTTACACCAAGCACTTGAAGTCCTTAAACACAAGAAGTGAAACCACTGAACCACTTTATTTTATATGTTTATAAAATCATGTAAATTTATAATAAGTTATTTTTTATAAACAATATTTATAATATAATTAATTAGTACACACACACACACACACACATATATATATATATATATATATATATATATATATTTATCTTACTGAACATAAAATTTTATAAAATAAAACACTATTTATTTATACTAATTAATTTAATTACCTATTAAAATATATAAGTTGTAATAGATAATTTTATATATAATCATAATATGATAAATATTTATAATATTGTTGGATGTCATCTATATATATATATATATATAAGATAATATTGTATCATAAATTTAGAATATTACAATTCACATGAATTAAGAATCATTTTTTAAGTCTTGTACATTTTCAAAATTTCAATTTAATAATAGATTTAGATTAAAAAAATGATTGTTTAACTTTTTTTTTTAAAACAAAAACAACTTATTCTATTTTTTTTTTCAAGATTACAAGGTATAACTTCAACAAAATATAATTTCAACCAAAATTTATATAAATAAAAATTACTACTCCTTGCATAAAATAATATATAAAGCTCAATTCATAATCATGAAATTTTAAAATATTCACTTATTTTATTATTAACTTATAACCAGGTTTTGAAAGCTCTTTTAAATTTTAATAAGCTAAAATTAAATAGAAATTTAATTATATAAATTATATATTTATATGTTAAATCCATTCATAAATTAAACGAACTGAATTATATGCAATTCAAGATTAGTTCACTTATTTATCAAATTTAATATTTAATTCAAATTCAACTCATTTAGTTCATGAATCAAATTTAAAAAATTAATTATTAAATTAAATTTCAAACTATTTTTTAGTTAACCCAATTCATTCTCAATCCCTACACCTTATATAAAAATATATAAATAAAAAAAAGTCTATAAATTAGTAACCTTGGCCTAATATAAAAGAAGTAAACATTAGACAATGA